AATGAATGACCATGTTCAACTCCCCTTCTTTGAGTTCCCCATGTCATTCTCTGACTAAAGCTGTGGTGAAATATTCTACCACAGCCCTGAAAAAAACAATAGCATTTGCAACTATGCCTTAATGTTTTGCGAAAGAACTGGTGTTTGTGTAAAGCTGCTTCTCATCCTGTCATGGTTTTATCCTATTTGCATAGGCTAAATAGTTTGTATGAGAGATTCAGTGTTGGAAGCAGCCACAAACCCCAATTTTCTTTAGAAAAGTTGAAACAAGGTATCTGAGGAGTCTTCCATGAAGTGAAGGTATCCTGAGGTAAAATAAGCAATGCAGCATAAATTTTAGGGGATCAGGAAGAACATTAATCTGGGTGGAAATGGTAGCTTGCTAAAGATGTGATATCACAGCAGGTATGTAACAGGAATCTAGACACATAATGAGGTGCAGATGAGAAGCAAATTAGAAAACCAGTGAACAAAAGCCAGAGAAAAACTATCAAGTACTGTTCGTAACCCTGTTGTGACAGGAATTTCACAGGCAAATGCTGCATGTCATTACAAAATACTTGATCCAAGTCAGTTAGGTTCTTCACTTCAAGTGGGATAACTCATTCTGGGGCAAGCTGGTAAAAAGGATGGAAATCTGTGAAGGGGAAGAAGTAAGTAACAGGCGGTGTGTATGACAGGCATCTCATTGTCAGTTTTTTCAAAGGCACTGAATGCAATTAGCCCCACATAGGAAGGAATTTGATTACCCCATCTATAGATTTAGGCTTTCTATGACGCTTTCTGTATAATGTTGTATAAAGAAAACAGGACAGCAAGAGAAACTGTAGGTTAATTCCTGAATGATCATTTTGTGCACTGGCTTGCACTGGAGATGCCAATCAATACTAGGAACACCTGATAGGCCAACTTGCACTACGCAATCCTTGATCAGAGTGCTCTGTGGGATTCTGGAGTAAGGGAGTCTTCAGAGCAGACCTGTCAACAGTACTGGTGTGTGTTTGTCCTGGGGAGAGCTTAGCAGCCCTTCTCCCAGGGCCAGATACCCTCAGCTTAGTGCTGTACAAACACAGCTGTTGGGGGCAGAGAGAACCACCAGGTTCTCTCTGCCAAGGCTTGCGTGCACATGCTGATGGAGGAGTCCATCCAGGTCACTCTTAAATGAAGGACTTCACATCTGTTTAACTTGACCAAGCTTGCTCTGCCTGAAGTTTTCTCTGACTTGGCCCTATAGCTAAGGGGTAAACAGAATGGGCAGTGGATGTGTGTGAAGGTAAAAACAAAGTGGAAATGACACACTTCAGCTGTAAAATTAAGATAACCCCAAACCAGGAGATGCTGCTGCTCCTTAAACCTGGATTATACACAGTAACACTGGTGTCTGGTCTTCTCTGCATTTAAAATAGCTCCCGTGAGATTGCTTCACCCCGACAGAGGCTGGCTTGTGGGGGTGGGAAACACAACCCCAAACCCTCTTTTCCCTTCTGCAGAGCAGAATCCCTTTAGCAGCAAGGGAATCTGGCCGGGTTCCCCTTGGGAAACAGGAGCGCTGAGCCAGAATGCAGGCAGTGACCCATGAAGGCAGGGGCAAAGCCGGTGCCCTGCAAAGCTGGGATTTCTTCCTCCCTGCCACAGTAACAGGGGCAACTCTCCCAGGCTGGGCCCCAGGGAGAAGGGGACTGGCAGAGGGGTTCTGGTGTTGCTGTGGAAAAAAGTGCTGCTGGGGGGGCAGGCTGAGAAAGTCCTCTATGGAGGAGAGCAGAGATGACAGGAGCATGGAGCTTCAGTGCCTGGACATGCACCCCACTTATCAGAGAAATCTGCTGCCTGAACCCATGCGTGGGGTGGCAGGAGGGCCAGGGAGGATCAAAGTCCGTTTACAGCCATAAACTGGAGTCAGCCCTCTGCTAAAGATGAGCATGGGGGGCAGCCCCTGGCAAACCCCCCACCAGGGAAAGGCCCTGCTCGCCATGGTCCTTCAGGTGAGGCTGGGAAGCTTCCTCAGGCACCGCTATTCCCCGTCGGCCTTTTATAAAGTCAGGCGCTGGGCAACGGGCAAAGCGTCTGGTCCTTGGGGTAAATTTGGGGGAAGACACAATAAAACCCCCTCCTCAAGTACTTCAAGGCTGAAGGAGGGCAGCGGGGGAAGCCCCAAGTTCAGGTTACCCCCTGCAGGAACCAGAAACCTACGACGAAAGGCGAGAGACCGCCGATTCCGTAAGGCGACCGCCCGCTCCCTGCCCCGCGCAGGCCCGGGGTGGCCAGGACCGGCCCCGCCACCTCGGAGCGCCCCTCCTGGCCCCGGGCCCACCGCGGCTCCCTGAGGGGAGGGAAGGAAGGAGGGGGCGAAGGGAGGCTCCGCCGCGGGCCCACCCGCTGCCGCTTACCTTAGCGCCGAAGGGGGCGGCGGCGGCGCTGAGAAGGAGGAGGAGGAGGCGGAGGCGGTGGGGAGCGGCGGCCATGCCGCCCTGCTGCTGCCGCTGCCGCTGCCGGAGCCTCGGAGGAGACGGCGAGGCGGCGCGGCGGCCCACCAGCGGTGGTGGCAGGAGCAGCCGCCGCCGGCGCGCGGGCCGGCATGGCTGAGGGAGTTAATGACTTTACAACCTGCCGGGTGGCGGGCGGCGACCCGCGGCGCGGCCGCTCGGCGGGGGGGCAGGGGGCCGGGCGCTTCTGAGGCCCCGCCGCCCCGGGGCTCGGTCCCACGTCCCGCCTGCGAGCTTGCGGGGCCGGGGCCGGCAGGGGGCCGGGCAGCGTGGGCCTGCCGCCTCGTACCGCCCTGCCCGCTGCCGGTCTCAGCGCCCGGCCCAGCACCAGTTTCTCTCGCCGCTTTCTGCGGCTCCTTCGTAGCCCCGCAGCGTCTCCCGGCAGCGGCGGGATGCAGCGAGCGTCCCTGCAGAACCGTGGCCACCCGCGCTGCCCTCTGCACCGCGCACACCCCGAGCTCCCAAGCGAAGTCCTTCCCTCCGCTGGTTTCCTCCTGCACAAAAACCATTTGCTCTACCCAGTTCCTATTTCCTGCCCTTTCTGGGCAAGCTATGCTTTTTGGTGCATCCCTTTCTGTTCTGGGACTCAACGGGAGCATGCGGTCCGCGCCGGAAAGAAGGGAAACGACCCGGCACACAGAGAGCTGCTCTTTCTGGCGCTGCAAATGGATCGTGCCTGTGGGTAGTGAGCCCGATGACCTGGCCCATGCTAAAAGAGGATATAGTTGCCCAGAGGCCCCCAGATCTCCGCCATGGTTTGTTAAGTTGCATACTAAAGGGCAGCTTAAGCCACACATGGAAGTTGTTCAGTTTGTGCATCCTGACCTTAGGCAGTCACTGCAAAAAGCACGGTGCAATATCAGACCATTTGAACCTACTCCAGCAGTCTGCTCTTTGCTAGAGGCCTTCTCAGAAGATGCAATGGCACCTCAAAAGCCCCCATATGCTCTCTGAGACCTTTCAGGCTAAAGAAATCTGTTGATGCCTGTCTCCAGGTGCTGCTTTCAGGCTGGAACACTGAGATGTGTAACTTAAGAGGAATGAATTTACTTGCCCTCCTTTCTGGATCCCCATTTGTTGTGCTTGTGATCAGAAGACAGCTCTTGGTGATATCCTGTGAGTCTCCAGCCGCTGCAAGCCATGGACAGAGGCTGTACAAAAACGGCATTAGGTGTCCCTGACCTGGGGCAGGCTCCTGGGCAGCAGCAGTTCCTGCCTGCCAGATGTGCTGTAATTAGTGTAGGAAGGTGATCCGAGCACTCCACACCTCTCCCCTACCAAGGGTTTCAGCCTCAAGGTGGAGGGGAGGAAGGGGAGAGGAATGATGGAGGGGTGTCAGCAGGAGGAGGGAACAACTGTGAGCTCCCATCAAAGCTGTTTGCTAGCAGGCAGGGGGCAAGGAGGGGAGGGGAGCAATGTTCTGACCCATCCAGAGAAAATGAAAGTGAGGAGCACTGACAGTAGCATGGTTGCATCATGAGCTGCCTTCTACAAATGGGGAGGAAGCTTCAGAATCAATTCTTGGCCTTCCTGCCCCGCTGCAGCCCTGTATAATGTTCATCTGGACCCAGCTCCTGCACTGCAGATAAGCAAAGCTGTGGAGAGGCCGTGAGATGAGGGAGAGGCTGTGCTGAAGAAGAAAAGCATCTGGCTCCAGCTGAGTGATAGAGCCAGTAGCAGTTCGGGTCTCACGTGAGTTATGATGTGTCTGATGTTCTACAGCTCAAACCCAGTATATGAGCAGGAGCCCAGGGAGGCAGAAACAGGCTGTTGTATGCTGTTCAGTGCAAAGACAATTTGAGGCGGGAGATCTGCATGTGAGGCGCTAAGGGAGTGTGATGGGGCAAATCCAGGTGGCTCTCAGTGCTCTCCCCTCCAGGGCCCCTCTGTGCCCCCTCTCCTGACCTTTCTTGCTAGGCCAGTTTGCATCTCTTAAGCACAACTCCTGGGCCTCTTCTGTTCACAGGGGTGATGCAAGTGCAGTGTGAAAGGCAGCAGGACACTGTTAAAATGCTGCATGCCATTTTACACCCTGAGTTTAAGCAGCATGGTTGTTTTCTTGATGTTCAGAGCACATTTTGAATAATCTCAGTCAATGTGAGAGCAGCGGTATAGGAGATGAAGGTTCCCTCTTAGTCTTGAGAACCCAACCCCCACTAATCAATATATGGAAGGGTTTGGTAGTGTATTGAACTGATTTTAATACACTTAAAACTTTGCTAATAAAACCATCACCAGCCGCCACAACCAGCTTCCAGTCTTGTAATCATTTCTAATCCACCTCTCTCAATTTGGTTGTTTTTTTTTTTCCCTACTGTCTTTATTTAAAGTAAATTTGCCACTTTCTAACTGGGCCAGCTGGTTCTGCTGTATTATGTACATGTACAGGCTGAGCTCTGCATGTGCAGCAGCTCTTTGTGGTCTTGCATTCAGCCTTACCATTGAAAAGGGCTTTTCCTCTGCTGCTTCCCAGTTTCATGTGCCCTGTTAACAGAAAGTAGGTCTGTATACCACCAGTGAATGTTTAAAGGATTTATGAGGTTGAGGATCTCCCCTTTATTAGCACCCAAGAGCAGAGCCATATAGTTTCATCCTAACAGCCTCTCCATAACCAAATTTGAGCTGGGGCCAGCCAGTGAGTTTCACTGTAGGTGCCAGGCACATTTGGACATATGGGCTGCTTATGGGGATTTGATCTGTGCTCATCTGCCCTCTGGAAGTTGCCTAGGGTTATTTCAACTTCTTGTTGCATTAAATTGTGTTTCATCAACCGTTTCTTCAAAAAGCTTCCAAACACAGTCAGGAAGAGCAATCAAGACATATTGCCTCTGGAAAGGAGAACCAATGTTTGTGGCTGCTGTTGCAGCAGGTCCTGCAGGACTGCAGTACGCCGTCCTTTAACATTACCTGAAGGGATTTATTCTGCTCACAATTCACTTGCAGATGTCAGGATGGCAGCTATCTTCCCACAGGGAAAGTTTCAGCATCGTAATTGTAGAGGTTGTGAATTAAAAAAAACATATGTGAGAGAAGGGCCTGAAGTGTGAAGGTATTTGGACCTCTATTTCTCTGAGTGTATATTTTCCTCCCATTGGCCAAGCTGCTGGAGGAAGCCTGTCTTTGACAGCAGTCTTGCAGAACACTGGAATGGGTTTTTAGTTCATACCTCTGGCTGAACAGTCACAGTAACTCAGCTGGCTTTACCTGGTGTTTGCGCCAGCACAGATGCCCCTTCCTGGCCCTTGGAGCAGAAACAACTGGACTTTGCTCTCCCTGTTGTGGAAGAACCTGTGTGGTCCGAGGCTTCCCACTGCAGACACAAGCTCTGACCAGGGAAATGCCTGGTCCTTCTTTCTATCATTCTGACCGGCTCTAAGGGGTCAGCTCTGTTAACATAGAAAAAACAGTGGCTTCATTCAGCTCAAGCTGTAACTGGGGGAAGAGGCCATGTCTGCTCTCCTGTAGAGATCACCACGACCTGAAACTGCTTCCTGGAGGTGTCTGAGTGGTCCCTAGGTTGGCTGGGGCAGAGGATGAAGCAGACCTCAAAGGATGTGTGGTGTGGGGAGGCTGTTTCCATCCCTTGTGTTGAACGGCGGGGCTGCCTCAGCTCTCGGGTGCCCTCTCTCGGCCTGAGCAAAACTGCACACTCCAGCCAAATCGGGGAGAGGCCAGCAGGAGGTCTGTTCATGGCTTTGCCTCCTCCCTGTGCGGGCAATACACGTGCAAACTGTATTCTTCAAGCCTTTCTTCATTGCCGGCTCCTAGATCCACAGCCCACAGGCTGATGCCAAGCTCCTTTGTGCAGCTGATTGTATGGCTGCTTCCCCTGAAGAGGTGAAGGAGGGAAATAAAAAACCTGTTAATCTCCTGGTATATGCAAATCTCTCTTACAATGGAGGTTTTGTAGGCCTAAAAGTGACACCAAAGAAACCAGCCCTCTGGCAGCAGAGCCTGCCCATGCATGGAGCTGCAGGAGAGTTAAGCTGTCAGAGAGCTCATGGAGGTTAAAGCTCAAAAGGAGAGATGTAGCTCAGCTGGGTTCACTACTTGTCTCTCTATGTCCTGCCTTCTTCCAGTTTTAGCCTGTGCTGGTGCAGAGGGGCAAACAGAGATGTGGCATGACGTGCCTGTTGCAGGGACAGGGATGCTGCACAGAGAGCTGGAGATGGTAAGTTTATGTCCTATCACAAGGCAGTGACACATTCACACATATTATCAGTGCTCATTTTGTGGTGGTGCAGTCCAGAGTGGCCTTCCAGAACTGGTTTTGCCCCTCAGTTGAGCTGCTATGTAATTTTCAAGGTGATTTTTAGGGTTGTTGAGCACCCTGTGGCAGCACATCCCTCCCTGCAGAACTACTGCTGCAGAGAGCAGGACTAAAAAAAAGAGAAGGCTAGCTGGGGAGTGGAATGCTTTAATAGGCCAAGTAGAATAAAATTTTAAATTTTTTTTTTTTTTGAAGATGAGTGTCCTGAGTTCAGCAGTAGCAGTCATTTTTCTCTTTCTTGGTACCTGGTGCAGTGCTGTGTTTTGACTTTCAGCTGGGAACAGAGCTGAAAACAATAATGTTTTGGTTTGGCCAAGGACTTTGTGAGCCTCATGCTCTGCCAGGGAGGAGGGGAGCCGGGAGGAAGCAGAGACAGGACATCTGACCCAAAGTGACCAAAGAGGTATTCCATACCACAGCACGTCATGCCCTGGAGGTAACTGAGGGGGAGCCGGAAGGGGCTAGGAGGGCCTGCAGGGTTGGAGGAGGTATCGGTCAGTGCTTGGTCAGGCTGGGGGGGCGAGTTATCGGTCGGCTGGCGCTGAGGTGTTGTATTCTCTTCCGTTGTTATTTACTTTCTCATTACTATTATTGGTGGTAGCAGCAGTGATTTGTGTTATACCTTAGTTACTAAACTGTTCTTATCTCAACCCGTGGGAGCTGCATTCTTTCTGATTCTCCTCTCCATCCCTCCAGGAGTAGGGGGAGGGCAAGAAGAGGGGGGGGGGGGGGAAGTGAGTGGACAAGCTGTCTGGATGGGTTAAACCACGACAATCAGGAATTGAAAAATAATTTTTTTTGCATTGATGTAACAGTAGGCAACTGAAAAGCCCCAGCCAAACCCATGGCCTTGCTGGGCTTGGGTGATGTGTATGTGCAGGAAGAGATGTTCCCAGAGAGATTATTAACTAGGCCTAGGAAGAATAATTTACCTGTGATGCTGCAGAGCTGGACCATGTCCTGCTTCATCCTGGCCTGGGAAGGGGAAGCTTTAGTTCCTCCTGAGCTGCCATAGATGTATCTGCTCCCTGTGCCCCACGGCCTCTGTGTCACCTGGCGGGCACCACTCCCATTCCTGGTTCAACCTGTTTTTTGGAGCAGCTACAAGGATGACGATTCTGTTTCTTAAGGATCTTAAGGTCCTTTCCAACCCTAACTATTCTATGATTCTATGGTGAGCACACCATTTAGGGGAAAAATACCAGTGCATCCTTCTGCCTGGAGACGCTCTCGGAGCTTGTTCAGCCAGTCCCTTTGCACTCACTTTCAAATTCATGTGCGTGACTAAAAAAGCAGCCTGGGTTTGTCATCCACCAATCATTTAACCTGGTGACATCAGACTTGCATCTTAATCTTTGGGCTAGGACCAAGTCTTGTTCTCTTGCATCAGACAACAGAAGACGAGTGATGTTTACTTCTGGCAATCGATCACGTGAACATCTATGTGAAAATAGATGCCAATGTTATGAGCATTTAGGTTGTCAGGGCCTGGACAGGGACTGAAGAAAATCCAGAAAAAGGGTAAATCCTCTTTTGTTCAACCTTTTCTCTGTTTAGGCCAGAGCTGGGCAAAGTAATTCATCACAAATAGAAGAATTTGTGCGTGCTGACATGGTGTGGCATTGGGTGGAACCGATCTGATGAAGGGTGTTGAAATGAGAAATATTTGCTTTCTGTATTTCTCAAATATTTCAGTTGTCCATGGATTTTAGTTTAATTATTATCATTAAGCATTACGCAAACCTCAGTATGTTCCAGCCTGCATTGAATTCAGCGGCTGTTTGGGAGTTTTAGTTTTGCTTTAGTTGAAAAAGCTGTAAATGTTTGCCACAGACAACTGAGAAAAAGGTTGTTTGGGTTTTTTCTGGAAAAAGCTAATATTCAATTTGTTTGCACAAATATAGCCCTGACCTAAAAAACCCTTTGTCTAATATCTAATGATCCTTTTTCCTTACTAAACTGAAAATAGCTAGTGGTAGGGAAAAAAAAAAAAAAAAGAACAAAACCAAAACACCCAAAAAATCCCAACAAAAACCACCACCAAAAAAGCAAGCAAATAAATCAACCAATAACAAAACCAGAATACGTATGGTAAGATTCCAGTCTCACTCTGAGGACTTCTGGTTTCTTTCGCAATCTCATTATTTATTTTTAAATAGAAGTTTTGGTTCAGAAGCAAGCAGACAGTTTGTCTTTAAAAGGTCATAAAAATATCTATCTCTCTATTAGACCAGCTCGGGTGGGTGAAGCTTACAGTGATGTGCCCAAGCAGTGTGAATTTGACCTTCCATACCCTGGCTATGCATTACAAAAACAGTGCATAAAACTGAGAGTGAGATAACATTAAAATACAGACTTCCTTCAAGATATTGACATGATTAATGCTCTGCTGGTTCTTACATCAGCGCCCATACTGAACCATGCAGAGCAGAAACAGTATTTTCTGTTACCAAAGTAATGTTTAGCAATAAAGAGGAGGAAGGGGAGGAAGCAACCTGTATCTTGTACAAAACCACACCCTCGGCTGCCCTGCTGATGGTGAGCTGCAGCAGGTAACTCTCACATCTAGCCTAGTGTTTGTCACGGTTAAAACCCTTTGGTTGTGTCTTCATGTCCCCAACCAACAAAGTTGTCCTTTGACTGGAACATGAACAAATAACCTCTTCCTCTTCCTTTGTTTTGTCCCCTCCTCCAAGTTAGTGGCCACATATCTCCTAAGAGAGGTCCAAGGCACGCAGCAGGAGGAAAGAAGAGACAGGCTGTGGTTTTAGGGTGCAGGGTTGTACGTCAGCTGACCCATCAGTGGGGCACATCAGCAAGGCACCATTGGCAGAAGACCTGGACGGCACCAGGGTCCAGTTGCTCTAAGGAGCACTCACGTGTGCTACTTCTAAAAACACCATAGTGTTCTCAGTTTGTGTCCTGTTCGGATACAGAGCCTGGCTCTGTAAGGCCCCAGCCTGTGCTGCTTATATGGAAATAAGCCATGCTCTGCTACAGCTGCTCCTTCCCTGGCAGACAACCCTGTAGGCACGAGGGTCTGACACCCGGGGCAGGTCGTTGTGTTGCTATAAATGCTGCAACCTGCACCTACCCCTGAGGTATTCCCTGAGTTGTCTGCTCTGTCTCAGAGTCCCAGAGCACCTGCAGAAGTGCAGTGTGCAGGGGCAACACAGTGTTTCCAGGACTCAGATTTCTCTTCCTGGTATGCAGAAGAGAAGGCACAGTAAGAAACCGACTTGCTTTGTTGGGGAATTTTAGTGTTAACGTGAGAGATTTTGTCTTTACCAGCTAATCCCAGCTCTGTTCCTAGTTGCTTTAGCATATGACAGAGCACCAGATGCCTGTCAGGGAGGCAAATACACCTTCGGAGGGCAAAGACCTGGAGTGCTACCCTATGTGATTTGAAATAAATATCAATGCTAACATCTACATTCATCAATAAAAGTTGGCTGGGGAGAGACAGGTTTCCTGTCCTGACACAGATCAGAGACCTAGGTGAAGAGCAATCCATCATGTAGGACCAAAGCTGATGCATCAGCCCAAAGATACAGTCATAGTTTTGTGGCAGCAAAGGGATCAAGAGTGGACATTTTTTAAAAGAGGTAGCATAAGTTAAACTGTGTTACTCATTCTTTTACCTGTGCAATCAGAGCAACAGTGAGGTGGTTTCTGTTTCACTGCTCTCTGAAGTTTCTTCTAGTTGATGTTTAGGGGATTTCTGAATTGCAGGCTTGTTTGGACATTCTATATTTAGGATCTGGTCTTTGCAAGGTGTCAATCTGTCTGTGCAAGTGTGACCCTATCAGGACTGACTGGTCAACCCCCTAACTAGCAAATGAGTTTTTTGACGTATCCTTCAAAATGTTGGGCTTTGAGGAATTTGACCTTCCTGTGTTTCAACAGCACTCTGCAAATGAAGAGAAACCTTCTAGATAAAGTACATTCGGAGACCAATGTACATGACACTAGTGAACTAAGAGGCAAGGAGAAATGAAAGAGATACTGAAGTATCTTTGTGGCATACTAGTTGTGTACGTTATTTGTGTATCTTCTGATAGAAATGCTACCTTAAAGTCCTGTTTTCCCTCCTGCCTCCCCACACAGCAATGTTCTCCTGTGCAATTAGCAGTCTAGAGTACCCACTCTTCCCATCTGCCAGAAGGAAGTGTGCAATCTACCATCTCCAGGCTGGCAAAAAGCCTGAGTCAACTTATACCTGTCAAACTCTTTCCAGGAAGATGCGAGAAACAAATTGAAGAGAAATAGCACTGTTTGTGTATGCCTCCACCAGAGTTGACAGGACCATCCTCCAACCCTCCTCTGGGGCCCTGGCAGCCTCTGCCCCTAGGGTTTGGTATGGACATGGCAGCCTCCCTTCTCGATGGCCTGCACTGGGTAGATCGGTAGGACCAGGTGGGAGATGCGGCTCCACAGCCCACTGAGCTTGTCAGAGTCCATGTGGTCGTGGGAGCTGGGGGTCCTGGTGTCAATGAACTTGGCCCAGAGGAAGTCACGGACACTCTCCTCCACCTGCTGGAGGCTGATGTGGGTCTCCAGCGTCTCCTCCTCCAGCAGCACAGTCAGCAGCAGGGCCACATCCTTGAAAGCAGCACTTTCGTGGTCACAATACTTGTAGAAAATGAGGGTGGCCTCTGCTGGCAGCAACTCAAAGCGGTGGATCACTGCAGCACGGCTCCTAGCCTGGAAAGCTGAGCTCAGCTCCATGTCCACCTCCAGCTTGGCCTTGTCACTCTGGAGCCTGGATTTCCCCATGCCATCAATCTGGACCATGTTGCCATGCAGGGCAGCCGAGTAGGTTTCAGCCACATGGGCGCTAAGGCATCGCAAGGTCTGCTCACCCTTGCGGGCAGCTGTAAAGATAACAATGGCTGGCTGCGTGTGGTGAGATGCATTGAGGTGCTTCTGCAGGAACTTGCGCCCACGAAGCCAGAATTGAGGACTCTGCCCCGGAAACCTCTCCTGCAGTTGGTTGAACTGGGACAGGAATGCCTCCACCGTAGGGTTCCTGGGAGCTTGCTGGGAACTGGAGGTTGGGTTGCTGAAGCAGAGTAGGCAGAGACCAAGTAATAGAAGGCTCAAGGTGATAAGCCCTGTTCAACAGGGGAGAGACCCAAGATGGGGAACAGAAGTCAGTCCCAAGTGACCTGCAATGATATGCTACAAAGTAGCTATGAAGGTTCTTTTTGCTCATTTCAGACCTTTTCCCCTACACTCGGAAAGTGGTTCAAATTGACATGTTCTCTGGGGACCCAGGAATGACGCAACTGCTCCGTCCATATTGAGACCCATGCTCCTACCCACCAGATGGGGGGGCTACAGCTCCAGAGATGGAGGCAAGGCCACAGCCTTGGTGCAGAATTTCCTGAGGAAATTGCAGCTGTCTACAATCTTTTCTCTCTTTCACCCTCTGTTTGCCTCAGGGTTTGTGGCTGTTCAGAGCACCTATCTCCACATAGTGACATGGTTTAGTGGGGGACTTGCCAGTCCTTCAGTAAAGGTTGGACATGATGATCTTAAAGGACTTCTCCAACCTAGCTGATTCTATGATTCTGTATAGAGGTGTCTGACCCAGCTAAAGTGTTGTGTTCTCCGCCTCCCTCCTAGCTATGCTGGGGGAACAAAGGCTACCATGCTTCTGCCCCGAAAAGGACAGTGAGGTCCAGACACAACTGCTTCTGTCCCTCTCCAGATCAGCATCACAGTTCCTGCTTGGGGCCGCATGACACAGAGGGAGACTGGGAAGGGAAACCATCAATTTAGTATCATCAGACCTCCCAGGGCATGCCAATCCCAGCAGGCTGAACATGCTTTTCATGAGCATGTATGCCTGCTTTTGAGTATGCAGAACTGGATGAAAGCTGTTACTATAGGCTCAAACAGAGCCTATTTTTAAGGGAATGTTTTTTCCCTCAAGCCCTCAGAAAAGGCTGTGAAAGGTCCCAAGAGAGAAGAATTATTAAATGTGCTTCATTACTTGTTCCTGGAGGATCAGGGCCTTCCAGTCGATGAGTAACATGCAAGGGAAGCTTCTTTTCCTCACCTTTCAGGAAGAGGGACTTTTTTGCCTTCTCCTGGTCTGTGTTTTGGGTGGTGACATTCTGCAAGCAGGACTGAGCCTCTGGCTTTGGGGATATGTGCCCTACAGTAAGAAAAAGAAATGTGCCACTCACGGTTGAGGGAACAGGTAAATTGAGCTGTAATAAGAAAAGCAACAGAGCTGCCAGGAGCTCCCAGCTGAGAGAAAGAGTTAGAAGTCAATACTGCTTTGCATTAATACTGCTTTGAGTCTTAACAGTCTGCTATTTGAGCAGGGGAAGGAGAAAGATAATGCAGAGTGCAGTGTGATTTCACGCAGAACAGCACCCAAAGGAGAGCGAGAAGCCAGATAATTTCATATACCTTCTTTCATGCTTGAGTCTGGAAAATTGACAACAGGCACTAGAGATTTCACCTTACCATTTTTCTAACACCTATGCAAAGTGTAGGCATGTGAATAGTGAAAGAGCAGCAACATGCAGCCACCAGCTCACCTTTCATTCCATGTCTGTTCCTTAACATGCCTTGGGATCCGTTTTCCTGTGTTTCTTGCTCCATGTTCTCTTCTGGCTCCTGATCTAGGAGAGGAGCACTGGTACTCTTCTCTGGCAAGGGGTCCTCTGTGACATCTTCTGTGGCAGTCCCAGAAAAATGTGTCACTTTACTGTCAGAGCTTAGTGACTTGCTTCTTGATGAAGCATCTTCCTCCGCTGTGTAGGAGCTTTCACATTGCCTGCTTATCTCCTGGTCCTCCCATGTTTCCTGCTGTACAGGGCTGTCTCCTTTGCTGTCCATTTTATCATGGGCGAGCTTGGCTATGGGGAATAAAATTTACAGACCTACACTTAACTCTCTTTGTTCTTATTCAAGAACCAACAACCCCCTCCTGCATTTTTGGAAACGCGTTTTATGATTCTGTACAGAGATGAACACAAGGCAGTGAACACAGCACTTTACCTGGGTCAGATATCTCTATATAGAATCATATATGCATTTATGCACTTTTGGAAATGCTGGATGGGGAGAGACTCACCTTCATCCAAGCCATCTTCTTCCTGGCATCTTTTGGAGACACCATCACTTGTCTTCCCGAATTCTATTTCAGCTTCCTGGTTAACCTTCTCCTCTGCTGTGGGTACAGCTAAATCAGACAGTCTTGTGTCTCCATCAGGAGTTGGTGATTTACATACTGAAGAGTCCTCCTCCAGTTTGCGGGAGGTCTCAGGCCACCTGCTTGCCACTTGGTGGTCAAGTGTTTCTTGGGTGGGTTCTTGGTGGACAGGATGCTCTGCTGTGCTGTGCACCTCATCCTGGGCTGGCCCTGCTGTTGAGATCAGAGTTCAGTAAGCTCAGCTAGGCATACAGGAATAAAGAATACCCTGTGCTTTACCACCACCCTGTAAAATTCCCAGTTCTTGCATTTCAGAAACGTCTACCCCGGGTGAGATGGGGGAGAGAATAGGTGACCGGAAGTGAGAAAACTCATGGCTTGAGATCAGGACAGCTGAATAAGTGAAGGAAAGGAGAGGAAACCACAAGTAATGTAAAAGCAACTGCTCACCATCTCCTACAAGTGGACTGATGCCAGGCCACTCTTCGAGCACTGTCCAGCCTGAACCAAACCCCCTCTCCCCTTCTTCCTGTACCCTGTTTTTTGTTGCTGAGCGTGATGTTATACTTCATGCAATAACTCATTTCCCATCTTGGATCTCCACCCAATCTTCTGCCCACCCTAAATTATTTGCTTGGAGCAGGGAGAGGAGGGGGGAAGAGAAAGCCTTGATGCCATGCCAGCACTGTTCAGCAATCACCAAAACACTGCCGTGTTATCAACACTATTTTTTTTTTAACCACAAATCCAAAATACAGCACTGTACAGGCTGCTGTGAGCAAAGTTAACTCAATCTCAGTCTATGTGCCATGCTGGGGCAAGCAATTATTTTATTACGTGGTAGGATATGTTACCACACCTTCCACAGATAGTGGGGTTTCCTAGGTTGGCAAATTAAGGTGATGGATTTGAAGAATTTCTAAGGTTGTTGTTAAGAACTGGCCAGAATAGTTACGCCAAAGCACTTCAAGCATCTGTCTGAATTGTAGATGTCAGCTCTGCTCATGCTCCTTCTCTGCTCCTGTTCTGGAGCTGCTCTCCCAAACAGCTATGGTAACATATAATTAAAAGCAAACAGTGGAGCATAATTCCATAGAGAAATTCTCAGGCTGAAAGTAAGTGTTTGTAACCTATTCTGAATCTTACAAAACCAAACAGTGCAGCTCAAATTTCAGGCACTATTTGCGAAAAACTGCTTATGAATGATCAAGCACTATAATGACAGAAATGATTATGCTAAAACTAGAATAAAGACTGATAAAAATGGCAAGGAACTCCCTGCTAATTTGAAAATGGGAGAAAAACCGGCACTTGTCACGTGTCAGAACATGCTGTCCTTTGGAGCATGACTTTTACATTCCTTGTTGCCGATTATGATGGGAAAACTTCTGATCACTTAGGATGGATCTGAACTAGTTATAGCATCCCAGTATCACTGAAATATGTAGTAGTCATAATGAGGCACATGGAAGATATAAGTACATGGTAGAAACTGAACCAGGAGGAACCTCAGGATATCCTGCTGTTCAAGCAGTACTCCTTGTTGTGCCTCCTCCAAAGGTTTTGCATCCATAGGTGATGGAAAAACTGGCCTATTATGTAAGCATCTGTAGATGGGAGGCACTGCGATGCACGGAAGAAAGCTCTCCCAGCTGTAGCTGCTTCTTTAGCCTTTCTTGTGCTGCCATCCTGGACACAGAGTCTAAACCTGTTGCAGACTGGAATCCAAAACTGAACTACCTTATTAATCTTTCACCCTTCAAAAAAAGATAGCAACTTGCTTTTCTGGGTCTGGAAAACAGGGGATTCTTTTTATTCTTTTTATTATTTTTATTTTGTTTAGATTTCCCATATCACTGTTGAAGTGTTCTTGCAAGGGGGTTTTCCTAGTAGATGGAGTTAAGCATATGATTCACTTACCTCCAGAGAGATCCACACTTAGATTCTCTTCCATTTTATTTCTTCCCTGGAGCTCCGGCTTCTGCACCGCTTTGTTTCACTTTCTTCTTTGGTCATAAGAACACGTATCTCCCTCCTGTCTGAGTGGCTGATCAAATCCTACCCTCCTCACAGACACCATCCTGTCTAGGTCTTTGGAGTTGCTATTAAATGCCCATAAACCTGATAACCAGAAACATAGGAGCAGTGATTCATGGTGAAGAAGGAGGCTACTCCCTCCTCAGTTACCAAGGTGGTTTGAAAATGGACAGATACTGCTGATAAACAGAAACCTTTAGCCCAAGAGCTATTAGATATTTTGCTTCCCAGCAGGCTGCTGTCTTGGGGCAAGCCAGTGGAGGGAGGCACCGGTCTGTCACCCAGGTGGACTTGGATGGACTCGTGTGCTCTTGAGATGGCAGGCCTGGAGCCTGGGGCTTGGCAGGCCTGGAGACTGGGGCTTGGCAGGCTGCCCCATGTGCTTCCAGGCACCTGGTATCCCACAGCCAGCCAGGCTGACGCAGAGCAATGAGCCTGTTCCACCTTACCTCCCTGCTTCTGGCACGTCAGAACGGGAAACAGTGGTGCTGGGAGGTGAAGCCACTGACAGAAACACCGACTGGCCTGTGTGCAGCAGGGTTACCCCCCAGCTGACCCTCAGCAGTGCCCTAGCTGGGTGCTGTGAACATGGAGCAACACACTGACTCTCCTACACCCCCCGAAATACTTCCCCCTCTGCTAAGATGCTTTGGGACTGGATGGCCATGCTGGCCTGCTAGTGCAACCTCAGAAAGTGGATGGCTTTACAAGAGCAACGCCTGCCTGCGGAAAGCTGTGCAGCATGGAAAACTCCTGAGAAGCTTTCCCCACTGGGAGTGGTTTGTGGGGATTTCCATAGAGAAATCTTCAAGCACAGCCTTCTCAGCAGCCCGTCTAGCATAGCAGGGCACCTTCTCCCAGCCGCACTGTCTCTACAATTGCGCTTTCTTGCTAAACACCAGATTTGGGCGGCAGGGTGGGAAGGTGTAAAACTGCTGCTCCTTGCGCTCGGCTCTCGTCCCTCCCCTCCCTGTGCTGCTGCCTCTGGCAGAAGAAGGAAGTCAGAGGAACAAAGTGGTTTGCAGAGTCAGATGCTTACCCGGGCAGGTTCGGAGCTGCTCGGGGCGCCGAAGTGAAGCAGAGGGGCGCCAGGAGAAGGCCAGCGCTGGCCGTTCCACTTGCCCTTCCCAAAGGCCCTTCGGCTCCGCTGAGGGCCGGACAGCCCCGGCACCCGACACACACCCTTAGTCCTCCACTGTCAACGCGACAGTGAACTCTGCCCTTCCCCGGCTGCCGGGAGGCTGCTGGGAGCTGTAGTTCTCCTTCCCTCCTTCTCACCGCACTCGTTCTCGGGAGCGTTCAGGAAACTGGAACTTTTCTTTGGCTGTATTTCTGAATGCGATCGTGAGCAATTTCTTTCTGGCAAACTGGATGACCGTCAGCTTCCTGCATTAGGTAACAGCGCTGCAGATTTAAACTAAATGACAGGGAGGAGGGAACTGTTTTGAGAGTTGATTTATGTAGATTAAAAGTGCCACAAGAAAAAAAGCCAAACATGTAGCCAGCAAACCCTGGGCTCTGGAAATGTCACACTGTGCAAGTGCAGGGAAGATGGGGAGCCATGGGCTGTGAAATGGAGTGCCTTTAGCATCAGCCCCCCAGTGCTTCCTGTCCACTGTGGTCCAGACGCTGCAATGGGGAAAGATCAGAGAGTGTGTGTGCAGCTGCTTCTGGCCTCATTTGGGCAATGGTTTTCCAAAAAGTGCTGATCTGACTTGCTGTGCCCACAGAGGGGACAAGTTCCAGCCTCTTCCCTGTTCACCCCCTGCCCAGGGCACTTTTCATAGGAAGCAGCGGCATGGTGGAGGGCATGCCAGGAGAAAGGCACAAGGAGCAGCACAGAGGTGGCGACTTCCACTGGGGATGCCAAGCCAAAAAGGGGCTGCTTGTGCCCCTGGGACAGAACCAGCCAGAGTGTGCCCTGCTCCATCTCTGTCTCTTCCCAAGCCTTCACAAGCTGCCTCCTGCCCTATGGCCAACTGTGTGTCCATCACTTGACTGCATTGTAACTGAGCAATTATGAAACACATGTGTCACACTACACAAGGGGTGAGCATGTGCAGGGGTATCAATACCGATGCTGGTCATATCAGGAAGGTGAGGCATGTATGGGCACAGTGCATGTAGCAACTGCAGAACTGCACCTTCTTTCCAGCAGCACAGAAAAACAGTGGCTTCCTCTGAGACTCACACAGTTACTCTGATGCTGGTGGCCATCCCCTCCCTCCCTGGTAGATTCAGCACATTCCTTTATAATGGCCAACCTCCTACTGGGTTCAGTAGAGGCTGTAAAACCAACAGAATGACAAAGCAGGGAGGAAAAAGCCTGAGAGGCTCATGTATGGAGACCAAGATCTCCCAAGCACCCTGCTCTTGGTTGTTGTCCATCTCATACCCCAGCCAATGGCACGTTTGACTTGGTCTGCTTCTAACCATAAGAGATAGCCAACATGGCCAAAGCAGATGGGAGCCGCAGGTGTCAAAGGTGTCATGAAAATCAAAGTATTTTACATCCCTCTGTCCTTACAACCAGCCAGTCCCTTCACTACAGGAGGCAATTGGGAGCAGGCAGAGGGAGGGCCCTCATCACAGAAGCATAAGGGTCATGAAACCAGTGGTGGAATGCTAGCATAGCAAGTGGCGAGGAAAGGCAAGTGTGTGACAAAGTCAAGGGGTAGCTTCATCCTGTGCAGGATGAGAACCCCAAAAGCAGTTTGGCAGGAGAATTAACTGGTAGGTCTATGACATGAAGTCATCCACCATCACAAAAGGCATGTTGACATTATCTTATGCTGCTTTTCTTCCTTTAGTGTCCACAAAGTAATGGGATAATAACTGGGATATAGCATTGTAACTCAACAAATCCAGTCTTTTTTTAACTCAAGTTTGAGAAAGCATTTTATTTAAATAGGAAAAACATTTTCTCTCAATCTGCGGGAGAATCAGCAGTGACCAGGTGAGTTATGAAGGTCATGCTATGTAAGTATTTACACAAGGTAGTCGTTTAGAAACTTTGTTTGGAAACTTGTGAATAAATTGATAGTAGAAGCTATCACTTGGTCAGGAATCATGAGCCAGTCACCAGCAGGTCATCTTCTACGTGATTTGAACTGCATGATGGTTCAGCTATACTTTGAAACCTCCTGATGTGGTATTTGTTACATCCTCTTTCATTTCTCCATTAGAAAACATTGCTCACTATCTGTGTTCTGCTTTTACATCTTAAAAAAATAACATGTACTCTGTTGCTGGTACAGAAGGAGGTATGTGTAATGTCTCTCACAAATCCTCACTTGCTTCTAAATGAACCTGGAATATTTATGGTGCAATAGTATAGCATTAAAATCGTGTTTTTTTAAATACATGTACAGTCAAGACAGTAGCAGAAGACTGAATGGCACTTCCCTCACCCAGCCTTCTCATCTGAGCACACGGAACACCTAACCGTTTACAATCCTGCAAAACAACTAACATCAAACATGAACAAACAGATTTTAGAGCATGGGAGATAAAGATACTGCCACTACAGATAACAGTATCATCTTCCTTAATCTTGGGCTTTGGTTTGTTTGGGGGTTTTTAGCATGAAAAACCCTTTGGGATTTGTAAAAAGATCTCTTATTTGCTTAGCAGCTTGATTCTGAACTGGTCCTCAACTGTTTGCTGCTCCGGTAACCATCTGTGCAACAGCTACAGAAAACCCAAGTCTCCTGCTGAAAGACGGGAAAACCGCCTGGTTTTACCAGACACATGCAGGTGTGCCAGTTTCAAGCACAACTACCGTGCGTGCCCTATGACAGTGAGCACCGACCGTAACTTTCCACTTGGGAGCCTTCCGACCGCTGCCGTCCCTCCGGGGGCCCCCGCTGCAGGCCCCGCTGCAAGGCCCGGCCCACCCTCCCGCGCTGCCACTCGGGAGGCCGCTCCCGGGACCTCGCGGACGGTCACCCCAGCCGGTGGGGCCCCGCTGGCTGCTCGCGCCCCTACACGCCCCGGCCCCTCAGGTGGGGACAGCAAAACTGCCCGCCGCGGCCGCCGAGCCTCGCCCTCCCCTGGACGGCCGGCAGCGGGCCTTTGCTGCCTGCAAGGCTCCGGTCGGGCCCGGCCTCCCCTCAAGGGCCGCCCCCGCGGGGCCCCGCCGGCCTAGGGGAGGCCGCGGCCGAGGGGCCGGCTTGGCGCGCCGGGCGCTCCCTCATTTTTTTCACTGGAGGGCAGCCGCGGCGCAGCCGGGCCACGGGACGGCCGCTCCCGCCTCACGGCCTCCCTCGGGTTCCTCCCTTGGCTGCGGCCGCAGGCACCGCCGGCGATCCCGTTCCGTGGGCAGGCGGGTTACGGCTACGAGGAGAGGAGGGGTGTGCGCAGGACGTAGCGGCGCTGGCGCAGGGCAGCAGCGCAAGCCATGGCAGGCCTGCCGCTGTACCACGTGACGCCGCGGCGTCCCATCCGTGCGCAGGCGGCAGTGGGCAGTGAGGTGGCGGAAGCTCTGGTGGTTGGGACCGCCCCGCGGCGGGCCCGGCGGGAAGTGAGGTTCGCGGAGCCGCCCCCGCGGCGGGAAGGCGGCAGCTTCGGTCCCGCGAGGCGCGGAGGAGCAGCAGCTGGCGGTCGGGGCGCGGGGCGGCGGGGACGGCGGCGCCGTGGGGCTGCAGCGGGCAGGATGGTGGGGGACAGCGATGGGCAGGCTCCGCCGGACGCCACCGAGCTGAAGCACAGGCGGAAGAGCCCCCGTTTGGCGGCGGCGCGGGCGGAGGAGGCCGAGGCGGAAGCCGTGGCCGAGCCCGGCCCCGGAGGGGCGCTGGAGGGTGAGCGCAGCGTGTTGCGGTGGATCCTGCGGTTGAGGCGTGTTGGGGCGGCAGGAAGTGGGGCGGGCGGGCTCACTCTCTGCTTCCCCCCGAGCGCCTTGCTGGAGGGCGCAGCGTCGCCCGGGGCTATGTTGAGTCGCGGGTGTCCTCCCGGATAGCCCCGCTGGAAGCACTGGGGCGTCTCAGTGAGTCTGAAATGGGTGTTTGGTGCTGCTGGAAGGCTGTCAGTCTGGAGTCCGGTGGGCTTGAGCTGAGCTGCCCGGGCTTGCCACTCCCCTCACCCACTTCTCGTTTCAGGAGACGAGCATCGCTTTGGGATTCCGGACTCCTTGACTCGGCCTCCTATTAAAGCATGTAGATCGCCAGGTAGGCTTTAACCTGGAGAGGTTACTGTGTATGCTGCGTGCAAAGTGCTGAAATGCCCAAGACTGGAGGAAAATGAGTTGGGTTTTAGTTCTTTTGTGGATTTTACCGTGATTCTGGCATACAAGTGAATAAATCCCACTGTGGTTTATATTGCAAACATAAGAGATGACCTCATAGCAGCCTTCCAGTATCTGAAGGGGGCCTATAGTGATGCTGGGGAGGGACTCATTAGGGACTGTAGTGATAGGACAAGGGGTAACAGGTTAAAACTTAAACAGGGGAAGTTTAGATTGGATATAAGGAGGAAATTCTTTCCTGTTAGGGTGCTGAGGCGCTGGAATAGGTTGCCCAGGGAGGTTGTGAATGCTCCATCCCTGGCAGTGTTCAAGGCCAAGTTGGACAAGGCCTTGGGTAATATGGTTTAGAGCGAGGTGTCCCTGCCCATGGCAGGGGGGTTGGAACTAGATGATCTTAAGGCCCTTTCCAACTCTAACTATTCTATGAGGAGTGCTTATTGGTCTTCCACGGGATCCATGCACGTAGAGCATGCTGAAGCCCTTAGGTGGCTATTTTATCTAGTGCATCACCTGGGGTGGTATTTTGACACAGCATTAAAATAGAGACTAACTTATTTTACTAACACTGCTTGGTTTGTAAGGGCTGCATTAAAATTAAGTATCTTGAGCTGCAAAAACAGATCAGTGTGAGATTCTGCTTGGTATACCGAGCAGTGTTGCTTATGAGGAAGTGAGTAATTTGGGCTTTCCTGGCCTTTCTCTGAAGTACCAAGCACGTATCAGTACTTGCTCTTGGACACTGGACTAGACAAGCTGTTGGGTTAGCTCTGTTTGGTACCTTGTTTCTTTAGCTGATGAAAACTGTATCCTAACTCAGAGAGGTGTTAACTTTATGTAATACAGTTACATGTCTTTAGCCTGTCATTCCATCAGAAAACTGCAAGTAAATTGTATTTCCTTCCCTTTTAGTCTGTTGGTCTGTTTTGGGTTGGACTGTGTACATTATTAGTATGTGGCAATTTTCAGATGGATAAGGGCTCTGATCAAGCTCTTGTTGTAGCTGTAGGGCATGGCCTTAGTTATGTGG